ACAGTTCTCCACGAGTTTGAAAACTCTTTGGTATCAGTATATTACCAAGTCTATCATTGTAGATTTCGTTAATTTTTAATTAATAAACGTTAGAAAGGCACTAAAAGTGGCTCAAAAATGATGCGGTTGAGGCATAGACCGTTTTCATAAATGGCTGCCAATTTAAAATTCTTTTGTATGCATTTAAATTAGCCTCACTAAACTCGTTTGGGAGTAAAAATTCTTTTGAATTATCAACTCAAGAACGAGGTTAGTCAGGCTAATTTTAATACTTACAAAAGAATTTATAATTGGCAGCCATTTATGAAAAGGACCGGACTTCAAGTCCGGAGGTCGAGGGTTCAGATCCCGCTCTAACCACTCATCTGGAGTTGTAAATAGCCAACTGGTCTGCCTTCCGTTAGTTGGGATTTTTAAGCCTATTATGTTTATAATTGATATATTTGTTTCTCTCAGTTTAGTGGCATGTCCATGAACTCGCTTTGTGTAGCTAAGCGCATTGACCACTATAAACAGCAAGATTTGAACATTTTGAATGTTTACTTCGTAGTTGTTGTTTCGATTGATGAGATATATCAAACACTCGAGAACACTATAAACAGCAACATTTGAACATTTTGAACCTGAAAACTGCCAAAGGTAATTATGTTTCTCAAAACTTAACTGTTTTTGCATTAAGTATATACCACTTTGTTGGCTCGTGAATATGATTTTGGACCAAATTTTTCACTATTGGGCCAAATTTCCTAGAACTTTCTCAAACTCATTAATAATTCATCAAGTTAAAACAAAAAAAATTGATAATTTTACCTCTCTGTTTACTCCTGAGTTTTTGTTTCGATTGAGAAGCTATATCAAACCGGCGCTCGAGAAAGTGTTTCATCGGCTATCCAAACACCTCGAATTTCGTCAAAAACGCTCCGCTGCGTGTCGTATTTTCAACTCTGTTATCGATGTTTGGATATCCCGATGAAACACTGCCTTTCGTGTTTGATATGTTTCATCTTCTTTCAAATGCTTGCCCCCTAATTTGCATTTACATCATGATAACAGATGCAATCTATCAAATATGAAGAGTAATCTATACTTACAAATTTTAATTTCACAGGAGCTCCCAGTCCACGGGACATTACAGTAACAAACAAAACTTTGCATTTTCACAACGCAAACTCCGTTGTTATGGCAACCTCGCCAACGACAGTCATCCTAAAAAATCAAAACTTTGTGAGTAGGGACAAGCCAAAGATATGAAAACGCCCGCGGGACAATTACTCATTGAAGAACACATAAAGTTCTCGATTTTAATCACCAAACCTAAGAAAATATTAATTCGAGGAACCAAAATTATTCCGAAAGCTGCAACGCCTCGGTAACTTCATGCAAAGGCCAAACACGCTTAGGTTATTGTGTTTACAAGATGTCCTAACGGCTGGAGGAGCCACCGCCTGCCTGGGGTATCAAGAAACATCGCTTATAATACAAGCCATTAATTTACAGTTTGTAGGACAAAAGAACTTTTGAAAATGTAAAAATACGTTTCCGATCAACTAAGTGGAAGTATTGTCAAGATAATTCTATGGTCTCATCTTGTCCCTTGATTTCAGAATTGTAAAGTAAACCTGGCTAAATTGATAAAACCTGGATCAGCATTGAATGCCTTTTTGTTTTCATTGCGTGAGAAGAAATGCAAATATAAAAGGCGAATGGAGTGCGATCTTTTCATCGGGACATACAGTAATATCGTTTCTTTGATGAGTTACTCAAATAGAGAGAAACATGTAAGTAACAATCGATTAAAGTTCACTGAAAACATGTCATGACTAATTTGAGTCTGATAGGGTGAGCTCCCGGAAATTCATTTAAAGAGTCCTGAAATAAAATGCTCGGTTGTCAAAAGGACACAATATGGTCCATTTTGTTTTCTTCCCAACTTTTTATTAAAAACGTGGGCGATAAATGTATGTGCTTTAATTTCAGCCTCCTTGTCAACCAAAAAGGACAGAAATATGCAAATAAGTTGCTTGTCTTACCAGAATTTGACACACTGCGGAAAGCGATTGGAATCATATGAAATTTTGTTTTTATCTCAAAGCACACTGATATAGTGATATTTTAGCACAACCCAAAGAAATCAGGATTTTCTGTAGAATAATTTTGACAAAATTCTGTTTACATGGATTTATTATGATTTACGTTTTGTATGTCAATGATTTTTATGTTTCTAAATGGTCTATTTTTTTTATTTCTTCCATCGCGGCAGAAATGTTACTTGCGGAATACTGAAAAGATAGCAATGATCAATAAAGCAAAAACTAGGAATAACTAAGGTAATTTAAGCACGATCTTTTTAGCTCGAAACGGTCTCCAATAAAGCCCTTTATTAGTATTAAAAAGGGTTTATATGAAGCGAAAAAATACTGCCTTGCTTAAGATTCTGCACTGCCCAGCGACCTCAATTGTATCGGTAGCCAAGATTTAGCTTTAACTCTCGGCATTGATCGGCAAAATTGGTCAAATCATGTTGATTGCGACTGCTATACTTTCCGGCGTACACTGAAAATAGAGAGAGGTTGCAAAATACTCAATTAACAATTTCGTCCTCGCAGGAATCAACTATCTCAGGTCTTAAAATCGATCCAGCTTGAGTGTTATTATCATAGCTGACGGCTTTAATCCTGATAAAAGTTAGTGTACGTTGTGATATAACTGAACATTTTTATAGCTCAATGCTCGATAACTCACAATTTGAGATTCTCGAAGAAAAATTTTTGATTCCCTAAATAGAACGTCGAAATAATTTGTAGTACCGCGTTGTATGTCACTTAAGCATGGATGGGCACCAACTATCTTAGTCAGAGAAACGTAGTCATGAATGTTAGTCATGAATTGATTTCCAGACGATTTGCAAATACGTACGAAAGATGGCTAAAAATCCAGAACAAGAATCGATATGCATGTAAAACTATTTAGAACAGTCGTAGGTAATGTCTTACCATATTGTCGTTTGGAAAAAGAGCGAAAATGAATCCGTCTTCATGATGTAGATCGTTTTCCAAACTAATCACATCCAATGGTGGTGCATCGTTCAACTCGCACAAGCCCTCGCGTTGCTGTGAGATTTCTTTGAAGTTCGTCGAAGAACATCTGGTGTTTACGAGACAAGCTTGATTGCAAGAAACCTGGCTAGGAGTAACGCAGGACTTAAATGTATATCCTCTAAGCCTCAAGTTCAGCTTTGTGTAAATCGCACCTGGATAGGTTTTCTGTGAGGATCTCACGTGGCGAGAGATCGAACACAAGATCAGAAGAAGAAATCGACATTTATCACGCGATGAAATTGCCATCTTCGTCAATTGCATTGTTTGGAGGATGCATGGCATGGGCCCTACACTGCATACAATAGGGAATTTTAGGGAAAGATCAAATTTTTGTCGTGGATGTTTCCTCTGAGAAGCATTCAGCTGCGAAATTTAAATAATAAAGACCTGTTTTTCAAGAATTAGAATACGTCTCTAGAATCTATTAATATCAAAACTTAGTTTATTTTTCCAAGTGGGCATGTCAGATAAAAAGTTATTTCTCTATCAATAATCCAATTTTGTCATTAATGATTTAAATTAAATGTGATAACTTTATTTGGGCTAGATTTTTTGCTTGATAAAAGTGTTAGCATCATTAGCCAATTTCTCGTAAAAAGTTGTTTTGTGTGAGATGAAAATGGTAAGAAATGAATTACCTTTTAAGAGCGTGTGATGTCTTTTTTTGTAAACAACAAGAACGATCATTTTAGAGACCGACATTCGTATTGTTTGAGAGTTTTTTTTGTCCGTATTTATCTCGCCGATTGTTCTTTCTAATTCTTTACCATCCACGTTCGATTGAATAAAAAAGTATTTGTCTGAAAGAGTCTTTATTTTAGAGTAAATAAAGGCATCATTAGAGAAGTTTATGACTGACTTGGTTGTCAACCTACATAATAATTGATTTGGAATACTTGAGCTGCTTTGCCTCACAAAGGAAACTTGTTGTTTTCTTACCCAGATGGCCGCAAGACGAAAATCAATATTTATTTGGGTCACGTGAGAATTGTTCGCGCTTAGGACAAGATAAGTTTACCTATTAACAACCTCAGAAAGCCACTGACTCTAATTAAGATATAAGTACGACTAATCAGAGGATAATTTTATAAGAGTGCCATTCAAGCCTCCCACGTGTGCTTTATCCCGCTAAGATCTTCTCTAATTGAAATTGTAGTTTCGTAAGCTATGGTTGTTGTATTAAATCCAGTTTGTGTTTTGCTCTCTAGGGTTCGTCATGTAAGAACAGCGTCTGAGCGTAGGTGTCACTCGTGTGGCGTTTTTCTTTGCGTGCCTCTTTGTTGTATAATTTTATCCTTTCGTAGATACGAACGTTTAGCTAATTTTTTAATAGTCCATCAACTCAATGGAAACGTAGCGTAAGACCACCAATATAAAGCTTGTCACTACTCAGTGCTATTGAAGAGTTGGCCCATGCTTTGAGCCCGGATGGGGAAAGGGGGGCCGGGGGAGAGGGACTCCTGTATGAAAAGAAAAGATGGTCGTCGGAAAATTTGCATTTATAAACCTCTAAAGGAGACCAGTCTGAGCGTGGTTAGAGCTTAATTTGAATCCCAGATGATTCCACTTAAAACGGAATAGGCTCAATTACTAGCCACTGTTCAAGGAAAGAGCCCGCGCTACTGGACCGGACTCGAGAAACCGGCGAAAATGGACCCTGAAAACGGAGCTAAAAAAAGCGTTTCTTTTATTATTATAATTTCTTCAAGGGCACCCTAAAAGATACTTTGACAGCCAAAAATAGAGGTGCATTGTCATCAACATCCTAACTGAGACCAGAATCGTTGATTTATACCC